CTCTGTGTTTATTTTATTTATGGGGGGTTTCGCATTACCACCGTTCTTTGTTAGCCTAACAAACAATAACATGACAAGACAGCATGCTAAAGAGGGGAGAGTTTTAAGACAAGAGAGTCCATATGTATTTCTTCTTTTTATTTTTTTATTATTACTTTGTGTTAGGCACCAATTTTCTTAGAATTAAAAGTTATAACACGAATATTTTATTTCACAACAACCCCTAGCAAAGTAAACAACGAAGAAACTACAACAAAACTACACAAGGGTTGCTTTAACAAACCCCATGTTAGGGTTTTGAATTTTGTGTTGTTGTTGCTGTTGTTATTAGAAGACATTGTAGTGTGTGCGTGTGTGCTCGCATGTTGTCCCCGTAGAAACAAAGAAAGTTTCTAATAAGAATTGAGTTTATTGTTGTTGTTCTGTGTTACGGGTGTTTGTGAGGTAGGCAGGCACAATTTATGTTAATGGAGAGAAGTACAGTGGCAGAGCCATTGAGAGAGAGCGACTGTGTGTTGTTTACCTCTATAATGGTTGGAATTATGTTAATAAGCCAGGTGTTAAAAAGTAATAACAGTGACAATGACCGTTCTAGGGATGTCGATATTAGAAGGGAGAAAATAAATAAATGATAAAGAAGGGAAAACTGAGAAAAGAAAAAGAATTTTGCGCACAAAAAATTATTTAAAAAAAAATATTTTTTATATTTCTCTAAAAAAAAATCTCTAATTTTTTAAGGGCCAAAAGGCCTATAGATTTATTTGTATAAAATTAATGATTAAGGGGCCGTTTAATAAGTTTCAATGTGACCTTTGATTTTTTTAATTTTATTTAAGGCTCTGGGACCCAGAATTTTTTTAGGCTCTGGGGCCTATTAAAATGTTTCTAAAAAAATATTTTTTATATTTTTTTTTTCTTAAAAAATCACTAAAATGTTAAAGACCCAAAAGGCCTATAGTTTATTATTATTATTTTTTATTTTATTTTTATTATTATTTTTTTTTTTTTTTTTTGTATAAAGTTATATATTTAGGTTCCTTTAAATTGTTTCCATATGGCCTATGATTTTTTTTATTTTAGGCTCTGGGACCCAGAATTTAAAAATTGTCTACAAAATTTTAAATATTTTTGAGACCCTATGTCATACAAAAAATTATAGAATTTTGTAGGTCCTGAAGTTCTACGAAATTTTTTCTATAACATTTTTGTTTAGGCCTCAAAATCCAATGAACACAATTTTTTTTTTTTTTTATTTTCAATCAATTTCTGAATTAGGGACAAATTCGCATATAATATTTGATTTTAGAAGTATTGATTCAAAGGTCACCAGAGAACATATGAAATATTTTCTAAGTTCCATGAATAGTTCGAAGTTCCATGAAAATTGTTCCATACAATTTCATAGGCTCAAGAGGGCGTATGACAATTTTTTTTGGTCCCAGGGGGCGTATGACAATTTTTATTTAAATTTTTGGTCGAAGAAGGGTTACGACTATGTTTATTTATTATTATTTTCTTGATCGAAGTCCCAGAGAGCGTATGACTATTTTTATTTAATCGGTATATATAATATTTATATATAAAATATTATCATGAATATTGGTATATAAAGAACAACGTATATCTTGGCTTATTTTTGAAGCATATCTGAGAGAGGGTCAATTTTTCAAATTTTACTATAGGTCACCGAACACAAGAAATCGGTATATATAATATTTATATATAAAATATCACCTTTAATGTTAGTAGAAAAAAAGAAACGTCATTTTTAAACCTTTCCTGAATTAGGGCCAATTCATGCCTAATGTTTAATTTTAACAGTGTGGAGCCAAAGGAAAAAATAATCTCCATCAAATTTCATTATAGGTCACTGAACACAATAAATCGGTATATATAAAACTTATAAATAAAATATTGTCTTAAATATTTACATATAAAAAGAAAATATATTTTAGGTTATTTTTAAACTATTTTTGATGAAGAGCCCATTTCTCCTTGAATAATGGGGTTTAGAAGAATATTGTCAATGAAAAAAATATACTGCATCAAATTTCACTATGGGTTACTGAACACAAGAAATCGGTAGATATAATATTTATAAATTAAGTATCAACATAAATGTTAGTATATACATAATAAAGTATATATTGGATTTTTTTAACCATATCTGAGAGAGGGTCAATTTCTCCCTGAATATTCGATTGTAGGAAAATATTATCAATGGAAAAAATATTCTACATCAAATTTGACTATAGGTCACCGAACACAAGAAATCGGTATATATAATATTTATGACTATTTTTATTTAATTTTGTTTTGATCCCAGAGGGCGTATGACTATTTTTATTTTTTGTCTCAGAGGGCGTATGACTATATTTATTTATTTTTTTGTCCCAGAGGGCGTATGGCAACTTAACTATTGAATTGTATAGACCTGAGGGTCTTTTAAAATTTGTTTATAATATTTAATATGCCACGGAGGAGTTTGAAATATTTTTCTATGGATTTTTAAAGGCCTTTGATTATTTTTCTTTAAAGTATATTGGCAGACCCAAGCCTAAGAAACCGTTACTGAAAATATTCTCTATAATATTTTTGGGCCCCAATAACCTACAAACTTGTTTTGCATTCAATATTTTTTATGATTTTTTTCTAAATAAAAATTCGAAACCCCTTTCACCGAAGAAATATTGACATGAAATCCATTTTTTGTTCTGACAAAGAACAACAAAAATGCTAACAGCCTACCTCAAAAAAAAAAAATACAAGAAACAACACTTTGAGTGAATGAAGAAAAAAATGGCTAAAGTGTGCCAGCCAGATCATCCCCCCATTCATACCCCAAGATTTTACCTCTAGTGGACTTTGAAAAGCCACTTTCCTTATTTTTAGTTTTTCTTCCTCCCCCCATTTTTCAAGTGCTGTGCTGGAAGATTAGCAGACGTCGAGAAGAGCATTCTTTGTACCAGGCTAACAAAGTGGTTGTTGGAACAATGCCAACCCAACAAAAAAATAAAAATGTTGGTAGGGGAAGACACACACACTGAAATCATCATCATCGCCACACTTTGATGGGACATATACGTCAAAATGATGTTACATGCCTCAATAGAAAAGCTATTGCTAAAGGTCGGCGGTCTGTTGGAGAGGGAAAAGAGGGATATTTTTTGTCATAGCAAAAAAAAGAAACAATAAAATGCTAATTTGTACAGGTATATGGTTGGGAGGTGAGATTATTGCTAATCGTTCCATATTTGCTATACGAATTGGTTCTACTCATGCATTACGGCTATTTAGAAAAAAAAGAAATGTGTAGTTCAAGGATATGTAGATTTGGGAAGGTGAAGGACTTCTTAAATTTCGATTAGTCGACAGCAAAGAAAATGGATGTTCAATCATAGCGGATTTTTATTATGTGTTTTTTAATATATTAAGAAATAGGGTTGAATTCTCCCATAAGATTTTATTTTAGAACAATGCTTTTAAGGGAAAAAATATTCTCCATCAAATTCCACTATAAGTCACCGAACATAAAAAATCGGTATATATAATATTTATATAAAATATATCGCCATGAATGTTGGTGTATAAAAATAAATTAGGTTTTTGGCTTATTTTTAAACCATTTTTCAAAATAGTCTTATTTTTCTCCGAATACTAAGTTTTAGGAGAATATCGATAATGGAAAAAATATTCTCCACCAAATTTTACTATAGGTCACCGAACTCAAAAAATCGGTATAAATAATATCTATATATAAAATATCACCATGAATATTGTTATATAAAAAATAATGTATATATAGACTTATATTTGAACCATATCTGAAAGAGGGTCAATTTCTCCCTGAATACTAGGTTTTAATAGAATATTGTCAATGGAAAAAATATTCTCCATCAAATTTCACTATAGGTCCACAAACACAAAAAATCGGTATAAATAATATTTATATATAAAATATCACCATGAATATTGTTATATAAAAAATGATGTATATATAGACTTATATTTGAACCATATCTGAAAGAGGGCCAATTTCTCCCTGAATGTTGGGTTTTAGGAGAATATTGCCAATGAAAAAAATATTCTACACCGAATTTCACTATAGGTCACCGAACACAAGAAATCTGTATATATAATATTTATACATAAAATATTACCATGAATATTGGTATATTGGCTTATTTTATATATATTGGCTTATTTTTAAACCATATTTGAAAGGGGGTCAATTTCTACCCGAATACTAGATTATAGGAGAATATTGTCAATGGAAAATATATTCTGCATCGAATTTCACTATAGGTCACTGAACACAACAAACCGATATATATAATATTTATATATAAACTATAACCATGAATATTGGTTTATAAAGAAGATATAGAATAAGTACATATTGACTTATTTTTTAACCATATCCGAAGGAGTACCAATTTCTCATTGAATACAAGTTTTTAGGAGAATATTGTCTATGGAAAAAATATTCTACATCAAATTTCACTATAGGTCACCGAACACAAGAAATCGGTATATACAATATTTATATATAAAATACCACTTTCAATGTTAACATATAAAAAAGAAGAATTAATTCGGTTATTATCAGACCCTTTTTTGAAATAATACCGAATTCTCCGATAAAATTTTATATTAGAAGGATGGATCCAATGGAGAAAATATTCTCCACCGAATTTCACTATGGGTCACCGAATACAAGAAATCGGTATATATAATATTTATATAAGAAATATCGCCTTAAATATTAGCATATAAGTAAAAATATATATTTTTTTATTTCCGAACAACTTTTGATTTAGGGAGATTTTTTTATAAACCCTGAGGCCTAAAAACGGGTTTTTAATAATCCTAATGAATCAATTTCAAATGTTTATACATTTTTAATTATTGTACTTCATATTTATTTTTTTATTTATTAATTTTTTTCTAAACTACAAATTAAAATTAAGAGAAAACACTACACACAAAATGGAGAAGAAGAAGAATAAGAAGAAGCAATTTACAAATTGCCACGTCTCTCCTGTTCAATTTCAATGGCGGTAAATAGGGATTTGAAATTGCCGGCACCAAAACCCTGGAAATTAAAAAAAGATACAAAAAACCATTATTAGTTAGAAGAACAGATTTACGGATTCAAATCAACTCCCGATTATTTTGAAACTCAATTATTTTTTTTCCTTATTAACTCTTGATGGTTTGAATACTTTTTCGATCTCTATGAACCTATGTATAAATTTTTATTATTTTTTATTTACTCGGAGATTTGAAAATGTTTTTATTTTTTTGGGGTCCCTTTGAGTTTCAAATTATCGGGAGCAGACGTCGTTATTAAGAAACCACTTACATTATGATTATGACGCTGGATAACCTCCAAGAACAACGTGGGACGATCTTGCATATTCTTGGTGAAGATTTGCAACAAATAACCATTCTCATCGTAATCGATGAGAATATTCAATTTCTTCAGCACCTCCATATCTTCCTTGATCTTGGTACGGCTGTGTTTCAAATTCTCCGTTAAAATGTCATAATACGATGAGGGAATGGTCAAGAATTCCATGCCACGGGCACGCAGATTTTGTATAGCCGAAATAATATCACTGGTATTCAAGGCAATGTGTTGGACCCCAGCACCACCATAATATTCAACATATTCTTGAATTTGAGATTTCTTTTTACCCTTGGCCGGTTCGTTTATGGGCATTTTCACTGTCTCCTCATAATTGGCCATGACAATGGAACGCAAGGCGGAATATTCAGTGTGAATTTGTGAATCATCTACCGACCAGAAACGATGGAATTGCAAGACACGTTCATACCAGGCGGCAACAGGTTCCATTTCCAAATCGGGTTGATTGCCGACAACGTGATCGATGAAATCCAATTTGGCTGGGGGTAACAGTTTCAGCAAAGGATCTTCGGCGGGAGCTTTAAAGCCGGGCAGGAAGACACCTTTATAATTGCGGCGATCAACAAAGGTGTGGGTGGTGTCACCGTACTAAAAGAGACAACAACAAAAACAAACAACTTATTAAAATATTCCTCAATTTTTCTAGGTCATCATCATCCAACTTACCGTCTTAATTGTGGCAAATTTCACAGTACCAAATTCATCCGATTCCTCCCACAGCTCACGCACCACCTCAGCTCCCCGCTCCTTGGCCAAATTGAAAATTGCCTCAATATCTTCCACCTCGAATGCAACATCCTTAACACCATCACCATGACGCATCAAATGCAGACCATGTTCTTCATCATCCGTCTCATAGGACGATACAAAAACAAAAACAATTTTATTTTGTTTCACCGCGTGTTTGGCATAACGACGACTGCCAGTTTCCAAACCCTGATAGCCGAGAGGAGTGAAACCCATGCGGGTGGTATAATAACTGGCGGCCTGCTTAGCATTACCCACATAGAAGGTTAAATGATCGAAGGCCAAGAATTTACCGAATTCAGGTTTGGGTCCTTTGTCGGTGTAGGAAGTCTGTGAAAAGAAGAAAAAACAAAGCAAACAAAAAAGAATGAAAAAATAGAAATTGAGGTTAGGTGATCATTTAAAAATTTGTGTTATTTCATAGAGGAATATTTTTTGGACTGAATGGAGTGTTTTAAACGAGAAGAATGGGAGTCGTTATAGACGACCTGAAGGAGGTCTTTATAGGCGATGAAAAGGAGGTCTTTTTAGATGAGTGAAAGAAAGTCTTCATAAGCGAGTAGATGGGAGTATTTTTGGACTATCAGAAGCGAGTTTTTTTTTTTATAGACGAAAGGTAGTCTTTAGAGACTTGAAGAATGAGGGTTTTTAGACGAACGAGAGAAATATTTTATAGTCGACGAAATGATCAGTGGAGGACTTTCAAGGTCGAGCAGAAGGGAGTCTTTATAGACGACCTGAAGGAATTCATTTTAGAGAGTCTATAGACGAATAGAATGGAGTATTTACAGACGAGCAGGTCGAAGTCTTTGAAGACGGGCAGATGGGAATCTTTATTGACGAAGCAAAAGTGAGATTTTGTGGATGAGCAAAAGGGCGTCTTTATAGTCTTTAGAAAAGGTAAAGGGAGTATTTTTGGACTATCAGAAGAAAGTTTGTTTAGTCGATCGAATGCAGTCTTTATAGTCGGCCGGGAGGGTTCTTTATGAACGAGCGGAAGAGAGCCTTTATAATAGATATGATGGTGATCTTTATAGACGTCCAAAGGGAATTTTTATAGATTACCTGAAGACTAACCTTTATATAATAGAGCAGAAGACTTTTTTATATACGACCAGATTAAAATCTTTATCGATCCAAAAGAGGAGTGTTTTAGAAGACCAAAGAATAGAATAGAGAATGATGTGTGTGAAGTTTGGATTTAATTAGCTATAGCTTCCGTATATAATTTCGTCCGATTTCATGGAAATGCTTTACCAAAAGATATTAGGTCTTTCCGATCGAAACAAAATTTTTTTCAGGCTACTGAAATGAGTCTAGTATGGTGTGTGTCAAGTTTGCTTTTAATCTGTTCAGTTTTGGCAATAGCCTCCGTAGAGATTTTCTTCCGATTTCACGAAGAGGTCCCCTAAAACGAGCTTTGTTTGTTGAATCGACATGAAATTTGACACAGGCGATTGTATTGTGGCTAGAATGTCATGTAGTTTGGTTTTAATCGGTTCAGATTTAATTCTAGCCTTCACATAGAATTTCTTCCGATTTCATGAAGAAGCTTTACCAAAAGTTATTCCAGCGGATCGATTAAACTAAATTTTGGCACAGGTGGCCAAATTGAGTTTGGAATGGTGTGTGCCAAGTTTGTTCAGATTTCCTATAGCCTCCACATAGAATTTCTTCCGATTTCATGAAAATGCTCTACCAAAACAAGCTACTGTTGACCGATTAATATGAAATTTGGCACAGGCGACCAAATAGAGTCTAGAATGACGTGTGCTAAGTACAGTTTTAATCGGTTCAGATTTAGCTAGAGCTGTAAAATAGAATTTCGTCAGATTGCATAAAAAGGCTCCATCAGAACTAGTAGCAGTTGTCGGATCGATATGTAATTTGACTTAAGAGGTTCGTATTGGGTCTAGAATAACGTGTACCAAGTTTGATATTAATCGGGTCAGATTTTACTATAGCCTCCACATAGAATTTCTTTCGATTTCATGAAAATGCACTACCAAAACACGCTACGTTTGTCGGATCGACATACAATTTTGCTCAGAGATTCGCATTGAGTCTAGAGTGACGTGTACTAACTTTGGTTTTAATCGGTACAGATTTAACTTCAGTCTCCACATAGAATTTCTTCCGATTTCATAAAGAAGCTTTGCCAAAAGATGTTCCAGCTGTCCGATTAAAGCGATATTTGGCTCAGGCGAAAAACTGGAGTCCAGAAAGTTGTGGACCAAGTTTGGTTTTAATCGCATCAGATTTAGCTATAACTCTCATATAGAATTTCGTCCGATTTTATGAAAATGCTCTACCAAAACACGCTACGTTTGTCGGATCGAAATGAAATTTGAATCAGAGGTTCGTATTGAGCCTAGAATGGTGTGTGCCAAGTTTAATCGGTTTCAGATTTAGCCATAACTCTCATATAGAATTTCGTCCGATTGCAGGAAAATAATGCACCAAAGATACCTAGTCTGTCCGATTAACACAAAATTTTGTAGAGATGGCCGAATTGAATCTAAAATGGTATGTGTCTAGTATGGTTTTAATCCGTTCAGATTTAGCTATAATTTCCATATATAACTTTTTCCGATTACATAGACTTTGTGACCAAAAGTGGCTACGTCTCTCCGATTAACACGAAATTTTGAACAGGCGACCGCTTTGTGTCTACAAATACGTGTACCAAGTTTCGTTTTTATCTAATCAGATTAGGCAATAGTTTTCATATATAATTCATGTAAATTCTGCGTCAAAAGATGCTACGTCTTTCCGATCATCATGAAATTTTGCACAGATTACCGAAATGAGTTTAGAATATTATATAACAGCATTGGTTGTTGAGCAAGGCGAATATTAAGTATTGAAATTCTGTATTTTTAAATTTGTTTCACATTGTTTATCACATTTCATTTCTTATCCTTTTTGAATGTTCATAATTTCCCACTTTAAATCTGGAAACTTCTTTGGGTTTTCAAATATCTCTTGTATAACACTGTAACATCATCACATTGACACATGTCCACATCGATTGACATACCATTATAACTTTATTGGTTTTGTAAAGATTTCACCGAAAACAACAAAACACTTGATCCACTTAGTAGGGCCACGGATTAAAGACTAACTTAAACGGCATGGTCACCAGCAAGCTTTATATAGCTTCTGGTAAAAAAATCAAATTGAAAAACGGTGGCGCTTAATAAGATACAAAACCACAACAACAGCAAGAATTTTAAAACCCGCGTTGTCAGGTGGAGAGGAAAAAAATCCTGTCCCCCAACAAAAACACGCACACTTCTCACACACAGCATATGCATGTTCGAGATGTTTGTTAAAATATCGTATTTGAATATTTATATTTTTATTATTTTTTTTTTCGAATTGATTTGATTTTATTTATATTTTTTATAGCTTGAAATAGTAAAACAAGTATTTTGTTTTTCTCGTCGTCGGCTCTAATAGTTGTTCTTGTTATAGATTTGATTTGAATTTTTTTAATTTCATTTCTTTCTGCATAAATTAAGAACATATAGTAGATATCCAAATCAGTTTTGAAACTTGGTGGTAAACAAAATGATAACTGGAGTGGTGCCGGTGTATGTTTGTGTGTGTATGTATGTGTGATCTATAAAATTATTAATGTTGTTTTTGTTGTTGTTTCAGTAAAATACCGGCTAATTGTTGTTATTGAATATGGATATGGACCACCGGTGCAAATAACTTTTCATTTTGGAGGCTTGTCTTCCAAAGACGACTAACTTGATGTTGAAGAGAAAAAAGAAATAACATTTTTAAATCAAAGTTTTATGATTTTGTTTGTTTTTAACACATGGAATAATAATGTAACTCTATATATAGATATTTACTAACCTAAAATTATAAATTCGGGCCCTACTTCGGAAAATGTTTGAAATAAACCACAAAATTTATTTTCTCCTTTTTTTCCCCGGATTTATGGTTATATTTAATAGCTAAATACTATATATACCGATTTCTTGTATTCAGTGACCTATAGTGGAATTTAGTGCAGAATATTTTTTCCATTGGTAATATTCTTCTAAAACCTAGCATTCAGTGAGAAATTGACCCTATTTTAGGGAAAGATTAAAACCCCCTAAAATATATTTTATTTTTTATGTGTCAATATTTAAATTAATTTTTTTATATATAAATATTATATATACCGATTTCTTGTGTTCGATGACCTATAGTGAAATTTTATGTAGAATATTTTTTCCATTGGTAACATTCTTCTAAAACCTAGTATTCCGGGAGAAATAGGCCCTTTTTCAGGAAAGGTTAAAAAAACCAAAAAGTATTTTTTTGATGTGTCAATATTTAAAAAGATTTTTTATATATAAATATTATATATGTCGACTTCTTGTGTTCGATGACCTATAGTGAAATCTTATGTAAAATATTTTTCAATTGACAATATTCTGCTAAAACCTAGAATTCAGAGAGAACTAGACCCTATTTCAGGAAAGGTAAAAAACAAATGTATTTTATTTTTTATGTGTCAATATTTAAATTAATTTTTTAAATATAAATATTATATATACCGATTTTTTGTGTTCGATGACCTATAGTCAAATTCGATGTAGAATATTTTCTCTTATGAAGCTTATCCTCTAAAATATAGTATTATCGGAGAATTCGGCCATCATTCAGAAAGGTTTTTCAATAACTGAAATAAGTTTTCTTCTGTATTTACACCAATATATATGGCAATATTGTATAGATAAATTTTATATATACCGTTTTTTTGTGTTCGGTGACCTATAGTGGAATTCGATGTATAATATGTTTTCCATTGGGACTATCCTTCCAACATCACATATTATGAGAGAATTTGGCCTTTCTTAATATCATGATTTTAACATAACCTAAATATGTTTTTCTCTTTATATGCAAAATTTTAAAGGCGAATTTCATAGATAAATGTTATTTATACCGATTTCTAATATTCGGTGACCTATAGTGAATTTTGATGTACAATAATTTTTCCATTGGTATCCATCCTCTAAAATCAAAAACAAGTATAGTTTCATCCGAAAATTGGAAATACTAAAAAAATATTTTCTTCTAGATATATTCCAATGTTAGGAGTAATATTTTTTAGGTATAAATTATATATATCGATTTCTTGTGTACGGTGACCTATAGTGAAATTTCATGTAGAATATTTCTTTCATTAACATCGATAACGTAAAATGAATTATAAAGATAGAAATCCACTAAAGTTCCAGACAATGTTGACTGATTTACTCTTTGGTGAGTTGTTGACTGTAATATATGCATGTCGCTTCTTGATCTTTGAAGTCAAAATGTGTATCATT